TATATACTACACATGCATCCTAGTAAAGAAAATTATAACAAATTCCATCCAATCTAATATAAAGTTGCATAAAAAAACAAATACAAGCCACTTGAGAAAAAAAATAGGCTTCAACTTATAACACCGCGGACTAATTACGGAAAAACAACAATATTGTTCGAAGGAGCACAGTTGTTTAACAACTTACCAGAAGAATTGAAGCTGTGCGAAAATATGAATGTTTTCAAAGGAGGTCTGAAGGATTATTTGCAATCAGTAATGTTTCCAACGCCCTAGAGAGACTAATATTATATACTTTTAGAATTAAGTACCTACTGTATCTCATTGTAAGCGAACTATAAGTTCTTATGAGTAATAAAGTTCTTTAAACCTATCAACTCGAGGAGATAAGACTGTGTAGAACAGAAAAGAAATTTAACCTTATCATTTTATATTAAAATCTCTAAAGTCACTTGAAGCACCCCAAGTGTGCTCGATTTATTATCGAACTATTCGATCAAAGAATAGATGCTTCAGCTTAAAGCTGAAAGGTGATGAATAAGACCTTCTCAAAAACCCTTGAAAAAAACCTGACTTGCGAACACAAGGGTTTTCGAGGTTGCCTTTGTGATACCTACAGAACAAGATGCTGCTTGAATGAAGGCCAATCTCTAAATAGAGTAGTGTACACTTTTATTTCGCATTTCTCAATACAATATAGAAGTTATTTATTAGCCTTCGGGACAAAAAGCCTTCTTGACCTTTGTATTGGAGAATAATTACTGATCGAAGAATCAAAATGATTTCCATCTCCAAGGTTTGAAAAGTTTTAAACGCGTAATAACGTTTTTAATAGTGCGTAAATAGTTTAAAATACTTGGCTTACGCCGTGTCGTGTTATTTTATCCACTATTTTGTTTTCGAACAGTCCCAGCCTAGTGGTGTTAGCATGCGACTCTCATCGCTGAGGTCGTGGGTTCGACCTCGGCTGTAACTGGACAGTTGGTATTTTTGTCTATGTGCGCTTCAACAGTCGCGTGTAAAGAAAAACAACAAAGTGCAACTGGCATGCCCTAGACCAAAGAGTCGACAGCCCGGCGTCTGTCAGACACAGACGGCTGATCATAGAAGGCTGAGACTAACAAGAAAAATAAATGATCACGAAACAGATACAGACATCGGGAGGATATAAAAAGTTGTAGCGTAGGTTGCACAACTATTTTTTTTTTTTGCATCGTCTTGGTAGTTTATTTGATAACTAACGTTTACATCTGGAGGTCCTAAGTGGAATTTAGCCGTTCCAGAACTTAGCCAGGAACCAGCTGCGCACTAAAGTTTATTTATGAACCAATTCAACGTAGGGTCCTACTAGAAAAGAGCGTACTAATTCTAAAAAGGCCGGCAACGCACTCGCGAGCCATCTGGCATTGAGAGTGTCCATGGGCGGCGGTATCACTTAACATCAGGTGAGCCTCCTGTCCGTATGCCTCTTGTTCTATAAAAAAAATACTAACACTTACTTTACCTTAAAAAACAATATAACGTCGAAATCGCGTTTATATCCCGATTTACTATAATGGAACTTACAAATCTTGGTAACCTGAAGAAAATATTAATATAAGATGTGTATACAGCACTTAGCTGTATATCACTATACTAGTACCCAATAAATAGTGGTATAATGAAAAATTCATAAATGTGAAAACTTGTTAATTATAAATGTTCAGTATGCAAGTGGCATTATTTCAAGCAATTATTTCTCCGCAATTTACCTTAAGTACTATCGGTCAATCGCAGCATTCCGTGAACTCTATTTGTGTCACGAAAGCGTTGAAAGAAAATTCATTTTATTTCTTTTTAGCGTAAATGTCTAATGACCTTCTTAATGTTGTTAGAAAATATTTTTGTGCATGCACTCCAACTCCAATCAAACTAAAAATATTTGAAAATCTTGCATTATATAATCTTGTTTTATACATTTAATGGCTTAGGGTGAGATCTATAGTGCGCACTTGGACTTTGCTCAGACTTACCTTACGAAAAACTTTGCTTAGTGTACACTAAGGTTAAACTATGATTTCGTATTTATAGACATTTTAACGGTGAGATTAAGCTAAGCCCAAGCTAAGACAGAAAATGTCAAAATACAAATTGATGTTTCATTTCATGCAATACTTTGTTTATTATCCTTTAAAAAAGTTAACAATAACAAATATTTAAAAATCTAAAACGGTACACATATATCTTCAATTTATTGTTATTTATGTATTCATTTATTTTATTATTGCAATAACTAGAAATTCACGAGTAACCTTTAGAAAATGTATTAATTATTTAAAGATGACAATAATTTTATTACGTAGAACGGATCGCAATGTTTTGGTTAGGTTATAGTTTGAATTTCGTTGTCACTATAATATGCCAATTGCCAGGGCTGCCAGGTGACATACAAAATCACACCAGTTATTTTTAAGATTTCTCAAAAATGGGGTTTGAACAATTACATAAATAATATAAATAAACAACAATAAATACCATAATAATGTGTAATTATTTTATTTCATGCATTTCATAGGTATTTATCAAGATCATTTATAATTTCTTTGAATTCAAATTCTATTTTTCCCAAAGTCTATGGAACTCCGATACAAAATGGCAACACCGTTCATTAAAAACCGACAAAAATAAAAAGTCCAGTAAAAGATATGATGGTAAAGCAAATTTTGGGCCATTATTTTTGTTAGGCTTATAGTCAAAGTTTTTGGTAAGTCGTCGATTTCGTGGACTTGAGATTAAGCTAAGCCAACACTAGGGAGAGATTCGTAGTTTGCTCTATAAATACCGACTGTGTCTTAGCTCGATAGTTAAGTCAGAGCAAAGTCTAAGTGCGCACTATAGATCTCACCCTTAGACTACAAACAGTTTTACTAGATACTAGCGGATCCAGCCGACCGATCCATGTCTTAAATACGAAAAAAAAAGACATCAAATTTAAATTTAAAACATTCTCAAATCCAAATGAACACAAAAATTCTATCCAGTCGTGTAAGAGGAGTTTAGTTATAAAATAAAATAAAATAAAATAAAATAAAATAAAATAAAATAAAATAAAATAAAATAAAATAAAATAAAATAAAATAAAATAAAATAAAATAAAATAAAATAAAATAAAATAAAATAAAATAAAATAAAATAAAATAAAATAAAATAAAATAAAATAAAATAAAATAAAATAAAATAAAATAAAATAAAATAAAATAAAATAAAATAAAATAAAATAAAATAAAATAAAATAAAATAAAATAAAATAAAATAAAATAAAATAAAATATGTTTATTAAGGAACATAAGATACATGTATCACTTATTCCACGTCATTAAATTTGAATTTGTAGGCATCCCTACATATCGGCAAAGAAGACAGAGGGTGTAGGCCGAGAGAAAAAGCCGGCGTAAAAAACTCTCGGTACTCTTTTAAAATATCAAATCATCAAACAAAATATATATATAATATATATATATTATATAAACACACACATAGATGATTTATATATTTAGAGATTCACTACACTTTTAATAAGTTTTAATTTAATTTATATTGTAACATAAGAATCATAAAAAATAAATCAATGGCGCTACAAGCTTTTCAGGTCTGGGCCTCAGATTTCTGTATTCATGATGTTTCATGATCATTTGGTAATCTAATAGGCAAGTAGGTGATCAGCCTCCTGTGTCTGACGCACGCCGTCGACTTTTTAGGCCTAAGGCCATGTTAAATGCGCACATAGAAAGATAGTCCATTGGTTCTTAGCCGGGGATCGAACCTACGACCTCAGGGATGAGAGTCGCACGCTGAAGCCACTAGGCCAACACGGCTCATAATAATCATCCCTAATCTTATTAAAACAGTAAATTCATAATTGAATAATTAATCCTAAATCATACTTTTTTACCATTTCTTTAGTATCTTTATCATATCCAAATCAGCGAAGTTAAGGTTTACCATAATAGCGTCAAGCTCACGTTTTAAAAAATTAAGTCGTAAAAGAAAAGTTTATATTATATTTTCGTGACTTAAAAGTTGATTGCCAATGAAAATATTAACATAACTAGATGTCGTCAGAAGTTTAGGATATTATGATGTTAATTTATATTAAAGTAGGCCTGAGCTCAGTGATTATTTATTCCATTAAAGTTATACAGTTTACATATTGGAGTGGATTTTATTCACAAGCCGCCCTATAGATGTATATATCGAATGTTGTACCATATTTTCTTCCTACTATGAGATATAATTATTTTAATAATAATAATAATTTATTTGCAAGAATATGGTATAAACATGTTTTGGTGGTACAATGGAAAGTTCGTATATTATTATATTATATACGACACATAATGGCGTGCAAATTGGTCTTAAAAGGAATTTCACCTAGAAGTTATATACATATGAGTCATATTTATTAGCCAATTCTTATATTATTTGTAGTAATAAAATACCACATTTTTAAAATATTTTATTACGTTGTCAAATTAATATTAATTATAATGTTTCACACAAATAATCATTTTTAGAATATTTTTTTTTCCAAAAGTAGTATTAAAGTCATTTTAAAAACTCTAGTAGGAAGATCTTTTAATGTTTTTGGTAAATTATTATAAACTTTGATTGCCATACAAATGGTGTTTACCTATACAATTCCGGAATAATTTTTGGCACACCCAATTGTAATATTACCCATATTACAAATCCTAAATACTACACATGTACCAAATGATTTCATCATTGTTTAGTATTACTAAAGGGATCTTCGCAGCTTGAATAGATTTCTTACTTGTTGTTGCTCGAAACATAGATTTTTAATAAGAAACATGAGATAAAGTGTTGAGATACCTGATATATGTATCACGGCTTACATTACGGTAAATATGAGTATGGTCAGTTGCAGGTGCGTTGCGCGGATGCGGCGAGGCGGTGGCGGAGTGCGCGTGCGCGTCGGGTGAGGGGCGCGCGCGCCGTGCATGTACGCGGCGGCGGGCGGCGCCTCGCTCGCGGGCAGAAAGGTATTTTATATGGTGTCTAACTCTGTGAATCAAGGCGTAACGAGCCCAATATTTGTCCTGTTTGTGGAATATAGGCAATCTGCACACAACAACAAAAAAGTACGTGCTCTCTCACTCCTTTTGTTTTAATGTAATAATTTTATCGTCGCTGTTCAAAGGAAACAATTTTATAATGGTTTATCACACTACAGGTTTTGTTCACCTGATTATCTTATCTCATAAATAGGAAATATAATAATATACCTATTATACAATATGTAAGAAAACGTATGAACGCGCATAGCGGGCGCGGCCCTCAGAAATTGGAATTGGCCATATATGATTAATTCAAATATTATGATACAAATCCTTTGTATATTACAACTGCAAAACACAGGCGCGTCAACACGGCCGCCACCCCGCGCCGACTAGCCCGCACCCGCACAGCCCCGTACACCCGGCCCCGACCGGCGTCCGCGCCTACTCGTGCCAGCATTGGGAATCCCGCCTGCTCCCGCCGCCGCGTCCGCTATCCGCCGCCGAGCCCTCGCAATGCGATCTCGTCGAGGTACAGCCGACAGTATGTATAAAGCATGTAAGTGTTAGAACTCGGTGTTGCTACAATTCATCAACGATTCCTAAGTCCATGTTGAGTCCAAATGAGCAGACAAAATCGTATATAAAAATACTCTAATTAAAGTATCAAATGAGGATTTAAATTCGTTAGTTAAAATCTGGCTGCATCTGGAAATGTTGGCGTAATTCATTAGTTAACTGAGTTAATGCAATGTCAAATGCTGTCTAAATTGTGCTGTTTCACTAAATGTAGGGCAAACTTCAAAGATTTGCTGTCTGAAGATAAGTACATTTACGTCAGATATATTCCCCTAAACTTAGGAGGCGTTGGTGAAAATAGCCGTTGCTTTGATTCCTATTATTCGAGCCTTATTACACTGGGCCCTATTTATTGTTAATAAAAGTTTTGTGTTTAGTTAAGATTGTAATACTAGAAAGTTTGTCCTCAATCAGAACGACTGAATCAAAGTTGGCTGGCCTAGTTTGATTAAGTTTTTTAATAAATCGCAGCTTAACGTTTAATATGGATTATAGGAATGTCGATGTCGCTTTTTACTGTCAATGACATCGATATTGTTCGTAAAAAATGTCTTTGTTAAGGTAAAATTACGTGGTAAGTTGTCTTCACAAAGCATGTTAAATTGATGTTAAATTTGTTATAAATGTGCTCATTGTATTCCGTAGCTACGCAGAGAAGTGTATTTTTAAACTTAAGTAACTGTAAGGTGTCTCGTGATACTTGACCTAACTTCAGTAACACGGCGTGTGTCACTATTCTCTAGGATTATTTTTGTACGCTTTAAATGTCCCTAGATATTACTGTTAATGATCTAGATACTATTCATGAAATAGTAACTGGGTCACGATTTTAATTAATGTTACGTAGAGCTTAAAAGTCATTGTATGCGTAGGATCTGCATGATACTTCATGTGAGACAGTGCAATAACCTCCCTTTTATATGGTCGTTAAAACAAAATAACGGGTATTTATTTTAGCTTACAGTAGAAAGTAAGTACAAAATCAACATGTGTTCTGAAGTGTTAATTAATGAAGTGCAGAAAGTGGGAAGGCCATGAAAAAACGACACATAAGAAAAAGCGTACGGTGGCAGGCGAAGAATCAAAGACTACGACTTGATATACGGAATGAAACATGACTGAAAGGAACTAATTAACGCCAAATCGCGGTAGCTTCCATTCGTCACCCTAACATATCGTAAAATATTAGTTTGTTAGTATTTCGCCTTTTCTCGTGCCTCTCTCCAAATCTAAATTTAATGATAATTCGTACTGTGATTGACAAAGTGATATTGGTGTTTGTGTAAATAGTAACGCTAGAACCTTAAACATAATATTCCGGAAGTCAAATATCTGTGACGGCTCAATAAAGGCACAAAACTGGCAAGTATGCAGGCAGCTCTTATGATAAGAGCAAAATCTAGGGAGCGAAGAAAACAACGACTGAAGCGTGGTGTCAAATATGAAATACCGAGCAACGTAGCAACGAAGTCTATTGCACCTTTCCCGAGATACCCACCTACTTCATGGGTATGTATTTTTGAATATTGCATGAACCCTTATTGATGTTATAGCTGTGTTAATCAATGGCATTTAAATATTACCTAGAGGCCCTCCGTGCTCTTCGGTATTTATTGTATATCACGGGATGTTATTTAAACTGACTGGAAAGAAAGCACATAAATGTGATATCACTAAAACGTGTTGCATTTATTTATTTACACTTCGTTACCTCAAACTAACATATAAAAACAGGTTACATAAGTTATCAGGCAACGGGCTTTATCAGGAAACAACGAAATCTAAATAAAAAAAGTGCGTGCGTACAAAGTACACAAGTCAGAAGTGAAACTTCTTTGTAAATTAATTATTGCGTAATTAAGCTGCCCAAATCCCATAATTTAATTTTGCCAGTCTTTCTATATTAATGATACTAAGGCTAGTTAAAATTGTTATTATATAGAAATACCACCATAAATATGATAACAATAAACAATAATATAACAAACTCATTATAAATAAAAAAATATGTATTTATTTATTATTTCAATACTACAACTAATAGCGTGTTGCTTCATGCTACGTTCGCCTTTTCTCACTCTCTCTCAATCGGTGTCAATCGCTCTCTCCCTTTTCTTAGACAAAAACGCTGCACATCTTCGTGACGTTCCGTAAAAATTTTACCCTCATGCGCCTAAAGAAGTTTCACTTCAATAATATTAAAAGAAATTAAGAAGGACGAGAAGAGAAATGCTCAGAAAGAAGATTCTTCTGATAACAAGAAGTAAGGAGTTCCAAAGCAGGATACTTACTTATATTACTTAATATTACCTTGTACTAACAATTACTTAGGTCAAAGACAAAATTATAGCTCAGGTATGAAAGGATAGGATAAAGTTACGTACTGATTTGATTTCAGTAGGTACGCCTACGTTTCTAAGAATTTAACGTGTTTTATCAATTTTATAAAACATCTATGATAGAAGTACTGCCATCAATAGAAAACCTACATTCTAACAAATGCGCGCAATTACGACATATTCTAGCGATCGGACATAATATTTCCGCTTCAATCCAAAAGCAAGATTATGCCCATATCACAATAGGTGCATTATAGCAATTTTCCCGTATCTGAGCAACAAGTAATTCATCAGTCCATCTCCACTGTCCGTCGCATTCAGAACTGTGCTTTGTTCGCAAGTACTGCATTTACTGTACAATGCTATGAATGTACCCTATTTTCTAACTAGCATAGGACTTGACACACTTATTTTGATATAGCCGTGGGAAATAAAACTGTTTAAAATGGATTCGTATTCGCTTAATGAATGGTGAACTATACCGATTACGCAGCTTGGTCGTAAGAGTATAAATTAATATTTAATCTCTATATTATAGAAGTTTTGCCTCCTTAAGGGGAAGGAATGTTCTCAGGTGATTAACGATGTTATTTGCAGTGATGGCATTTACTGTCTGATATTTACCAGTATTTATTGCAATGCGACAAAAATCATTCACATTGTATTGCGCATGATATAAGAAATAACTCTTAGGTTTAGGTTTAACAATAACTTTATTTCTCATAAGAATTGCATACATAATTCACTTACTGAGAAACAATATTTAAAACTAAGATTAAAAATTAGAGCGCACTGATGTAGGTACATATATAAAATAACAAAACAAAACAGCAACAAAAATGTGGGTAGACATAATAAACTTGATCAGTCAACCAAGCAAAACACAGATGTTCGAATTTGATTTTTTACTATACCGATAGTATATATCTAACCCTCATACAGAAGTTTATTATCAAAAATATTTACTTTACAGACAAGTTATGAGGCTTTTGTGTCTGACACACACAAAATGGTTTACTCACAATGCTTTTCTTTCCCGCGCCTTAATCGCGCATAATAAGAAAATCTTGATCGAACCAGATCTGATACAAATTCTATCTAACGATGCACAATACGAAGGTACAATTTTTATAATGTAAAATATAAGACAAGAATTTTCTAGAAAACATAAAATATTCATGAATGAGAACGGTTAGGTCTGCTTGAGTCAACCAGTAAGGCAGCGATGCATATTCTATGACTCTGTAATCCGCCCGGTGAAGTTTTCAAGATAGTTGTACCTTATAATTATAGAGGGAACTCTAAAGTGGAGTTGACACGTTGAAATATTGTTCTCTCAGCTTATAATTAACCGTTACGATGAGGATTATCAATAACTTTAACAATTCCTAATGTTTTTACAAAAGTCTCAGCGCATAATTACATTATAAAAACCCGAAAAGAATTTACCAACTTATTCGTATTTATAAGATTATAGAACTCAAAATAAATACACAGATATTGCATAATCAGGGGTGTAGAATGTGTCTCTTCTTCTTAATTGGAAATCTCGATAAAACATTATTTTGGCTCGAAATGAAAGCATTTTTTTGAAGAGTTGTAACCCCCGCTGCGGTAACGTAATTTATAAAAAAGCATATTTGGCAATAGGCGATTTTAATATACGATCTCTGCAGGTCAGTTCGTTTTGCCAAATTTTTTTCCAGTCTCTGGCACGATGTTTAGTGTCTTTTACCTCTACGCGCTAACACATCAAAAGTGTGTAGAAAAGGATTTTGAAAAATCTAAAATAATAAATTGGGTCATAAAATCCAATCAACACAAATGTAAATTTATCCTCGTTTTAAGGTTAAAATAATAAACACTTCATCATATCACACACAATATCACAATCATATCAAAAAACAGAAGACAAATAATATAAATGGGCGGTCCGACTGCTTCGGGCTGTTACTTCCAGACAACGTTGACAAGATTGAAAAAGTTATTGTATGAAAAATATTTTTTTATTAATATTGTGATACATTAATTTTTCATGTTTCGTGCAAATTCATAAAAGACAATAGCGTGCAGGCGAAACGATAACCTGACTTTCATCCTCGTGACAAAAGTTTAATTTTTTTAATCACGCTATATGGAGCGTTTTAAGAATATCGATCTTACCAGAATTAACCATACCACAATTATTTTTATGTACCCTCCAAAGGACACGATTCTTTTCACAAGACTTATCGACAAAAGTACTTCATTTTTGTTCCTAATTATTATATTCATATTTAATAAATAATTATTTTCTATGTACAAAAGATTACGTTTCACTGATAATATAATTTAATGAAAAATGTATTTACAATATTGTAAACCTACATAATAATAATAAATAAATAGAAAGCTTAATAAAATTTTGAAAGTTTGGTCCCTTTGATAATGGCAGAATTTCCCGACTGTATTATTACGATACTTATTCGTTCATCGAGGAGAGCTCCATCTCTGTTTTCACGCGTACTATCTACCATCATGATCAGGTGGATGTTTTAAATTATAGAGAAATTTACTGTTTAAATTCAAATTCAAAAATCTTTTATTCATATAGCTAACAAAATGTACACTTATGAACGTCGAAACATAAATATATATATATGAAATGCTTCTAATTTTACATTTACTTCCTTCTCAAATGAAGGACATAGAACGGAAGAGAAAAACTGGCAATAAACTCTCCACCACTCTTTTTAATCGCCAAGTTTTTTTTTTACACAACGTTTGTAAGGAGCTGCAACCATTACACCATGTTCCACATGACATCTTAAGTAATTAATAATAATAAAATAAATTAAAAACAAAGATTTGCCCTCTATCAGCAGGAGGCATGGTGAAATAGGAGCACGTTCTTACATTCTCGTGGGAACAACACGCAAATACATAGTCAAAATAACTAACATCACCGCATACACGAATTCAAGTCCGACCAGTCACCACAAGTAGAACCCTTTCACGAGTATGACGCATGGCCATCCATCGGCCCCGTCGCCATATTGTATCAATCACAAATAAAATGAAAATAACGCTTTAGGTTGCCGCTCTTATAAAACAACTACTAATGCCTGCGTCGACAAAAACTCTATACAAATTCTCATAAATATAAATTACAATAAAATATTAAACATAAGTATAACGCCCCGTAGGATAAACCGTAGTGGTACTACAAAGCTCTGAGTAAAAATGAAATTGCTTTTAAAATCAATATCTAGAGAATATAGGACGTTAACGTCGACTACATAATATCGACTGCATTGTGTTTAAGTACGGAACGTACAGCTCAAAAAAAACCCTGTCATCACCCATTCACCTATCTTCAGGAAACCATTACCACACCTCGCGTTTGCGGCTCAAATTTTTTACCACACATGCATTCCGTCCAATCGATTTTAAACCTATTACCCTAGACAATAAAGTTCATTCTCGGTAGTCACGCGATGTTTTTACATGGAAACATTTTATGCTAACAGTCAAATAGAATTTGGATTTGCTTTCACTGATATCAGTCACGATTGAAGAGGTCTTATTGAAAGAGAGACCAAAGATAAATAGTAAAATTTTATTTTGTTTACAAAGAGCCAGTCGCGAGTAAAATTAATGAAATTCCATTCCTTGTAATAGAAAACAATGTTACATCTTAACACTCAATTACATAAATTAACAAAACAGCCCTGCGATTCTGTAACTCACTTTTCGAACTCACACAGCGGTTTTCGCATCGGCGGTCGCTCTCAAATCAGTCGTGAAGCAGTCATTTTATGATTTGGCATTCTGAAAAGGTGGGAGCTTGTAGTTTATTGTTTATCAGAATGCCAAATCATAAAATGACTGCTTCACGACTGATTTGAGAGCGACCGCCGATGCGAAACCGCTGTGTGAGTTCGAAAAGTGAGTTACAGAATCGCAGGGCAGAACTCCAAGTTAACGTTGACTAAAACGTACATAATGAAGTCACTTAAAATGCTGATTTTACTTTTTGTTTGTCATAAAACAGAAGTCTAAAAACAACTTTTAAGAACGACATTGCAACAATTTGTTAACAAAAACTACAGAGAAATAATAAATACATTAATTTTAGTAGCAATAATATGCACCGACGCCAAAATTTTTGTTCTGTCTTAAAACAAATTT